CAAGATTGAAAGTAGTGGGAAGATGGGAAGTTGAATTGGAGAGGGAGGTTACTATTCGGAGTGGTGGGATAAATTTTCTTAGTTATAGAAATTAATGACGAAATTCAAATTTCGAAAATAAAAAAGCATGCATTCGATTTTACTGGAAAACCGAACGGTTGACGGGGAATAAATCACGCGTGGGTGGCCCTGTGACACAGCTACCCGTAGGCGCGTTAGTCTACGAAAATAGGTGATCAATACACGGAAGGGCAAATTCGTCCGACGAAAAGCAACTGTCAAATCAAGGTTAATTTGCTAATTATAGGTGGGATTTAGGGTACTTTAGCCAATTAACTCTTTTAGAAAAGTTGTGGAAATACAAAAGGCAATAAAGTCTGAATGCTGTACATTTGGTGCTGCAGGTATAAATAATGATGTGGACAGTAGCCACAACAGTAGCCAATCATCACCTTATTTAAGCTCTTACTAGATCATGATTTGCGCAATTGCGCGAATTTTGTTTTTTGGATATATTATATATTTTTGAGTTTGTTCAATTCTATTTTATATTTAAATAAAAGTATCAAAACGGTTTTTTTTATTAATAAAGTTCAACAGTGTTAGGTAGGTATAACTGTGCAGTGAAAACACTAATTATATACGGTTGTTCAAAATGAAAAACTAAAATTAACCTTAATTGTATGCGTTTTGATGATTAGTTGAGAGTTTAGTTATTTATGATTAGACCTGAGACTTAATATCCGCTATCTGTTATCCGGTTTGGGTACATTCTGATCCGCTCCGAATAAACAGATATCTGAGTGTCCAGATCATATAGTGATTTTACGGATCCGGATAGTGAAATTTAGGTCTGGATATCGAGATCCGGATCCACTATACATTTTTAAAATATTGAAATTAGAATTATATTAATAGATGTATATTATATATAATTTTCTATAAAATAAATAAATTTATTTTTTATTAAATTTCAATGATTTTGAACCGCACTTAAGAATGTTACAAATGTTTTATTAATTTCTAAGAATTTTGACTATTTAAAACATTTTATATTCAAATCATCATTTCTAATCCCGATTTGAATCCACGGTCGAACTAGTAAATCCGGTGATTTGATATATCTCGGTTTTGATTTTAATGAATCTATTATTTACAAGTCCGATAAAATCCACAACAACCGCTAAAATCTGAAACTAACCGTTTCAGCCGACGGGTAGCCGATATGAAATCCAATATTATACTAATTATGTTCATATGAAAATCAAAATAGTATAACTGATTATTTTTATTTGAAAGATTTCAAACTAAAATTAAGTATAATTAATCTTTTTAATTTGTTTCATGTTGATTAATGTTTATGTTAATATGTTATAATAAAAAATGATGTAATTCATGATCTATTAGCCGAAACTAAGAAATTTAATTAAGAAACTGATGTTATTAATGATCTAAAAACCCTAAATAAAAGTCCAGGGTTAATCATAATTCTTATGATATTTAGGCTTTGGTCCAGCCGTCCAGTGGTCCACAAAGAAAACTACGAAATGTTTTTTCTTTTAGTTCAGAAGCATCCGTAATTATCTTATTTTTGTTGATATCATAAAGGACCATTAACTAAACCCTAAAGCAAAGCACCAAAATTAACGTACCATAGACCATAGTGGTCTACTAATAGAAAGTCAGTGTACTATATAGATCGAATCAAATCAAAAGATTACAGCATCTGATTCAACTTTGAAGGAAGATATATCTTTGTCGGAATCTTTGTTTGGTTGCCAGTCGTTGGACGTGTCTGATGATTAAAGCGTCGAGCGAAGCAGCAAAATTAATTAACGCATCATATTATCACCTATATATTAATTGTAAAACATTATAACATCCGCGTGTCATCATAAAAATGTTTCTCAAATTTATTAGAGAAAAATATAAACATATAATATACTTTTATTAAACTAAACATAACTATTATTAATGCTATTCATTATTTTCTTAAATAAATTTTACGGAATTACCTAATATGATTATAATACATATATAAGAATTAATGATTCGAATATGAAGATTTGATAAAAAAAATTATAGCCTATATTATTTTTGTTAAAGTTATAGTGTGAAAGTAAATTAAATAATAGAATTAACTATATAACAAAAAATAGTTTTTTTTGATATATGTTATATTTTGAATTTTTAAAAACGACTATAAATTAATAAAACATTTAAAAATTTCACATATAATATTTTTGATTAGTAGTTTAATTCCGTTATATATTAATCATGGAGAATTACAACATTTTTTTGGTAGTCACGTGTTAAAATGAGAATGATTTTCATAACTGTTAGAGAAATATGTTAGTCCAACTAAACATATGTTATATTTTTATTATGCCAACTATCATATCCCTTATATATTAAAAGAGAAGCATTTTGCATTAAATGCGTTCACATTGAATTTGAGACAATGCTGACGTGTCGCTTCCAGAATGTTTCTCACAAAAAATATTGCCAAATTCATAAACCAGATTTATAACTTTACATATTACGTGTCTTGACATATAAAGAAACCAACTACATATTACGTGAACCTGCTGTGTCTCTTTCAATTTCAAACCTTAGCAATTATCAGTTTCAACAAATCTCGAACATATATATATGAACCTGCTGTGTCTCTCTCTCAAACAAAAATAATGAAAACTTCAATGAGCACCATTGTCTTCTTCCTAAGAGCTCTCTCCATTGGAAAGAGTCGTTCAGTGACTTCGCGAGACAAAGACGAGGAACTCGAGATGAAAAACATCGACTTAAGCGGTATAGGAAGCTCGGTGATTGGAGTAGAGAGAACTCTGAAAGGACTACTCGATGAATTAACAGTCAGCGAGGGTGTACAAGCTCGTATGGATGGAATCATGTTTCAGCAAATACCATATCATCCTCACTCGAAACGCAGTGGTTAGAAAGATTAGCCCTATCACTGAGTCTACAGTCCTTTGCTGTGTTTATTACAAAATTATCCTCCGTGGTCTATCGCATACCAAATTCTGTATTGGTAAGTCAAAATTAGAGTTCAAAATCATTTTTTTTGGTTCGTATCTTCCATGTTTCCTAATATTTTGCTAAAGATGTTGTCTAATAATGTTCAAATACCTTTTCTACTCTGACGAAGACCTATGTGGAGCTTTGGTTCATGTTGGCCCAATCGAATATGATAGTAAAGTGCAATACAACCCTAATATTAATGATGGACATAAAAGCAGAATTAAGTTTTCCATCATGAATATTGAGTAAGTGATGTTCTTTTACAGTTTTATGTTTACAGCAGTTCCTATTTGATAATGTTTACCATATCTTATTGTATACAGTTTTGCTGAAATCAATTGTGTTGCCTATGGAACTGTAGCGGATAAGTTATATGAAACCGGCTGTCATCAACTGCACGGGTTGTTGTTTGTGTTTTGAGATTATGGCGAATTGAGTGGGGTGATGGTATGTTTTACTAATCTAGACTATAATTGGATCAAAAGAACGACATTTTTATTTGACCTGAATTGTTGATTTTTATAGGTTGCTTAAACCATTTAACTAACTTTGAAGAATGTTCGGATATTTTATTTGATTCTCATATCGCTGAAATACAATATTTCAAAACAACGTAAGTTTTGCATAATAGGGAAGATGTGATTCTTAGTAAAAATATGTGTTATATTATAATTGCTAATGTTAACTAATCCCGTATATATTTCAAGCTTCCATTCTATCGAGAATGATTTTAAAGGAAGATACTTAAAGAATGTGACGAAAGAAAAATGGGATTTTTATGTCCATTTTTTTTTTNCAATATTTCAAAACAACGTAAGTTTTGCATAATAGGGAAGATGTGATTCTTAGTAAAAATATGTGTTATATTATAATTGCTAATGTTAACTAATCCCGTATATATTTCAAGCTTCCATTCTATCGAGAATGATTTTAAAGGAAGATACTTAAAGAATGTGACGAAAGAAAAATGGGATTTTTATGTCCATTTTTTTTTTTACTTTGTTCTTTTATATTTAATATTTAGTTTGTTTTACTTTATTACTATGATTGCTTAAATTTTGAGAGTTATATCTTTAGCTCATAGTTATATTTTAATCAAGACACAAGGTTTCAATTATTTTTAAAATTTTATCCCCCAGAAACACCAAACATTCTAATAAACTTATAAAACTTATTTAGTATTTACGAAATATAAAAGAAGCACACATAATTTGTGTTACTATCAATGTTTGAAAATTGAAATAAACTTGTGTTTAGACTTACCTTTGCTATGAGGTTCCGCCCAGTATGATAACGCATGAGACCCCTTATAACTACCTAATCAGCATTCGAACATTCTCATCAAGAGAAGAAAATATGTTAAAAGTACACATTTATTAAATCTATATTAGTTGGTTTATTGGTTCTCAATTTGTAAATCATATTAGACGGTTTGATTTAAGATTAATCGCTTGATTTTTATTTTGGTTAGCTGTAATAAATAGTCAGAATTGTCTCCCAAGCAAATTAATGCACTTATCTTTCCTGAATTGTGTTCTATTCCTAGATACACCATTTTAGAGATATCCTTATTTGGGACAAAAAGATGTAAATATTTCCTGAAAAGCAGACCATTACTATACTTAAGGAAGATAATATTCATCTACTAAGAAAGTAAATTTATGAATTAAAAAATGGAATATATAGGAGATTTTAATCATATGCATTTAGGAATTATATACCAAAAACTGCCTATTACGATCCGACCAATATATCGACTAAATATCTTGCTAAATCTCTTTTAATGTTCAGAAGAAACCTATATATATATATATGTACTTTACGCTAAGCATCCTAACTAAACCTAAAAACACACATAATAGAAGAATCTCTTACATTTTTTGCGTGATGGTTAACTTCATCTCTTTGAGTGAGTTGAATACTAAGATTCAATTCCCTGCAATCCGTGTTAAGATAGTTAGAAAATGGAGTACGAAAATTGGAAGAGATCATCATTCAACCATGCTCTTAGGAGATTCGAAAGTAAGTTATCTTATATTTTAATGAACGTCTTATAAATCACATTTATACTAAATTATGAACTCACTATTTGTTTTAAACAGGTAGTAACAATTGAAGGGAGTTTAAGCTATGCTTTGTCTCTACCTAACGAGATTGAGCTCATAGAATGTGACTGGGTAGAGATACTCAATTTTAAGATAAGAAGGGTTTTCAGCTTTATAGAACCACAAAGCACAAGTACACAATCAAGTTCAACGAAGCGAGTTTGTTTAGAAAGATAGAACCAGTGAACGGTTCTAAATTTCTATGCTGTGCAAACTTCCGTGGTATCAATCGGGGTGTTTATCATCCTGTGTACTGCATTGGTATGTTAAGAATGATTTACCCTTTCTTAGATTGTTAATTAATGGTACTAAAATCTGAAACAATTTTTTCTTACGTAAATCTATGTGGAGCATTGGTCCATGAGAAGATCTTATAGTTAATAAGACATGTCAACCTGCTAACGTTTACAGTACTATTCTATATTCGTTGGAGTTCTCCTTAATCGATCTCGGGTTTGAATTTTTCATATATTTACAATTGTTTATTCTTAGTACGACCATGTTTGTACAATTTATATTGACTGATATATAATACAAATGTAACAGGTACACTCAAGTGAGGTGTGTTGCTCATGGAGCTCTAGCCCGTATTTTAAATGATTTCTGGCATTCTAATACTGCAGATGCTGTAGTATGTGTTTTAAGGTTATGGCGAATTGAATGGGGAGCAGGTAATCTATATTTATTTTGACTCTTTGCTATTCAGAAATGTCTGGTTTCTATATTTATTGTTGATATTACTTTATAGGTGGTCTCACTTATGTTACAAACATGGAAGGTGTTTCTGAAATTATGTTTGATACTGACATCCCAGAGATTCAGTTCTTCAAATCGCAGTAAGCACATTATACTTAGTTGGTTCTATAAAGCTGTGTAGTATATACACTAAAAACTTTGTTCTTCCTCATATATTGAAATTCATGTCTTTGCAGAATTCCAATCATCAATTTTTGAAGTTTTGAAGTTATTCTAACTAATTATTGATTGAAGTTGTTTTTATATAATACCTATTTATATTTAGACCATTATTTGTTTTTGGAAGAATGAGATTATGCATCTTTATTATAATAGAATTGAGTTTATTTTATTTATATTAGATTTCTCATCTTCCTTAACCTAGAGACTTACCATAGTGAGGAGGAGTTTTAGCAGTATTTGAGTAGTTTTGTTTAAAATACTTATATAAAACAGAGGCACTAGATGTATAAAATATTTTAATTGAATTATAGTTTCACATTCATTCGAAATAAATTATTATGTTTTTAAAAAGTCTTTACTATTGCATTATATAAATGGATGTCGAAATTAAGAAAAATTCTATAAAATAATAGTTTAAAAATTAAAAAATGGAGGTATTACAAAATTAAATAGTAGAGAAGAGTATATAAGTGTATTTTATTTGGTTAAAAATATTTAATGAAATATTGTTTAGTGAATTATTTATTTATATTTTAAAATAAATTTGATTTGATATAAGATGACACTAAATAATTAATTTTAGTCATTGTGTTATCACCATAAAATCAAAATCGCAATTTAACCAAAAAATATATATTTAAAATATAGATATATAATTGGACGATATTAAAACCCGAAACAACCAATCCAAAACAAACTAATATGCAAATAAAACAGATATAATGTCTTCTTATCTTCAAAAATATTTAAAAAATATTTTAAATATAGATATATAATTGGACGATATTAAAACCCGAAACAACCAATCCAAAACAAACTAATATGCAAATAAAACAGATATAATGTCTTCTTATCTTCAAAAATACAACAAATTTAATCATCTCATCCCGCGCAATGCGCGGGTCTAATCCTAGTTTAATTAGTAGTGTACAAACAAATAATTTATATTCTTTCCTTATATAAAAGCTACGCAATTACCTAATATGATTAACATATTTATCACAATTAATGTTTATGAATAATAAAGATTTGATAACAAAATTTATCCTCTGTAGTTTTTATTTATTTTTATATTATTAAAAAAATTAAACAATCACATTATTATATAATAAAAAATTTATATTTTTTCTTCTATGTTATATTTTGAATTTTTTAAAACGATCATAAATTAATAAAAATGCTAAAAAATTCACATTGAAAATTTTGTGATCAATGATAACATTTTTTAGTTCTGCCAATCGTTTTTCTAATGGGTCTTAAACATTTTATAATGATTAACTAAATGGATCACGCATAATAAAATGTGTTTTGTTTATAAATTATTGCATACCCAAAATTAATATTAACCATCATCCCTTTCGTTTAAATTTTTGTTACAATAAAAAATATATGGCTGAGCAAAATAAATGAATCAAAATAATCAAACCAAATCTAATCCAAAAGTTAATACAAAGTTTTAACCAAAATTGGTTAGATATCTAAACTATTCAAAATTTTGGTATCTAGAGAACCAAAACTTAATCGAAATATTTTGTGTATCCGAGTGTACCCGAACCAGATTTATATACTTAAATATATTAATTATTTTTAACTTTAACATATAAGGATATATAAAATACATGGGATTTTTTTAAAATATATGAAAATACTTAGAAATATATAAAATAGTTAAATGTACATTTTTAAAATAGCTAAACGATACTCCAAATACCCAAAATATTTGAAATATTTATGTTATGTTTAAGTATTTTGGCATTCATTTTTCAAATTTATATGTTATATATTATTTTTACTTTTACATTTTGAAAAATTTAAAGTATATATGAATTTTAATCTTTTTTTTTTAAAAAAAGGGTTATCCGAACCTAAACTCAACCTGAACCTGCAAAGATTCGAACCAAACCGCAAAGATATAAATGAAACAGAATCTAACAGAACCAAATGGTACCCAAATAACTATCCCTAATCAAATAAAAAAGGTTATTGATAGCAAAATATGTATTTAAATACAATATATTTTTAAAAAACTCACTCCGCGCATGGCGCAGATTATCATCTAACTTATTAATAAAAGATAGCCACTTTACTATATAGATCGAATCACACAGAATCCAGAATTGATATGATTCGAATCCGAGGAGGAATATGTTTTGCCTGATGATTGTTTGGTGGTGATTTAGTTATTATATGATATTTAAAATAATAATAGTACTGACGAAACTAGACTCGATATTATATTTATCAATGTATCATAATAAATTAGTGGTTGCTATTTGAATTAAATTATTTGTCATAGTTATTGTTGTTTATTAGATAGGTTATCATTTGGAACTAATAATTTTGTGAATGTTTTTTAAGTTTATAAAATTATGACTTTGAAAAAATAGATTAGCGAAAGACTATTGGAGTATAATCACAAAGGTGAATTATTTTATAAAATATTGATTACCTTAAATAGTGCATATTAAAAGACAATTCGATATAGAGAAGCAGTGGTCGGCTTGACCCGATTACCTATTTGGCTAATTACTTGTTTCAGTTAATATGGCATTACAAACTTTATTAAGTTTACCAATATCGTTATTTCTTCTGTGTGACTTGTTGGCATAGAAAACTTTTACAATTGTTTTATCATGGTGTCACTTCTAAAAGTTTAATGTCACATAGTTTATAAGGATCAACAAAATACACATATGACCGATTACTCACACACTAGGATAAGACCTGCGCCTTACGCATGATAAATTTATATAAACATTGCTTAATATATTATTGATTGAATTAATATTTTGGTCTTTAAACAATTCTTTTCATTTTTGTTAATTACATAATTTGTTTACTAATGAGCTGATCTCGTTTTAAAAAATGTTTTAGGTCAAAATATCACTTACCTCAAAAAACCTAACGTTTAGGTCGAAAAATCTCGGGTCTATTTGGTTACAATGAAACTATGCCAGCTTGGTTTTATATCATGATTTAGTAATTTAAAAATTAATTATGGTTATGAGAAGTTTATGTTCACGCGCCAACCATATCTATCTTAAATATTTTTCTCTTTTGTGTCTTTTTTTTTCATTTTGGTTATTGCTCGATATAACTATTGATTTTGAAGTTTATTCTCATTTCACTTGTTTGTTTTGACCTGAGATTTAGAAAATGTTTAAGATTTAAAATATTTAAAGAGATACATGTTTAGGTTAAGATCTGCACATTTTTGCAAAATACATATTTTATATTTATTATTATTTTATATTTTTATGCATATTATAAAATAATAAGTATATATATATTAAATAACTAAGGAATCAGTTACTATTATGTAATAAATTGGCGTGTGCATATAAATCTAACGATCACTCTTGTTTATTCGCAATTAGGGTAAATAAACAAAAATAATCAATCTTATCTATCATATATGATATATAATTAAATTTAAATGATATTAATATAGATATATAGCAAACTTTTAATGTGGATATCTATTGAATGCGGTTTCTACTCATATGATTTTATGATTATTTTCATATTTGTGTAACAAAATTGACACCAACGAATTTTTTTAGTGTGAGATGTTTAATAGTTTCAGTGATTTATAATCATTTAAAAAAATGACAAATTTTAAAATTTAAATATAAACTTCTCAATATATGTTCATTTCAAATATCAAAATATAAGTATGTATTTTCATACAATGTATAGTTTAATTTAAACAATATATATATATATATATATATGGAAATTTTCCAAATATGACTCAAAACTTGGTTTCAAATGCAAAAGTAAACCCAAACATGAATCAAATGCAAAATTAACCTAAAAGTCTATTGAAATTACAACCAGATCCTTGTGAACAAACAAAAAACCCATTTTTTTTGTTTTTTGACGTTTCTAACTCCCGCAACTATTCTGTCCACATGACTTTCAATTAAGTCGTCTGGATGACTTAGTTGAAAGTCGTCTAGTATAGTTACTCTTAAAAATAATTTAAATTTTTTGTAAAAAATATTTTGATAAGTGAAAAATTGAAATCATGTAATTAACAAATGTTTTAAGAGATATAAATTAAGATATAACAAAATTTAATTATTTTCAACATAGATGAGTGAAAGGAGTGAGTCATGATATTTTTCGGTTTAGGTTTTGCCAACATATGGTCTAGTATTGTATGTGTTTTTTAGTGTTACATTTTCGAAAGCATAAATGTTTTTTTGAAAAATTTAAAATCTACCTAAGTGTGTTTATTTCTGTGTATAAAAAACACTATTTAATTATAATTTGATTTTTATAACGTGGTTAGTTAGTTAATTTAGTCAATTTAGTTTAGGGTTTAGGGTCTGGACGACATACTATCAAGTCGTCTGGTAAATATATTTAAGGCAGACGAGTTACTCGGTAAAAAATCCGGTTAGGTTTAAAAGTAAATTGGTAAAATCAAAGGTTCAGTCCGGTTTGGATGACTTATTAGTAAGTCGTCTGTTGAATACTATACATCAGACAACTTACTAATAAGTCGTCCAAACCGGACCAAACCTTTGATTTTAACAATTTACCTTTAAACCTAACCGGATTTTTTCCCGGACATATATAAGATGTTTTTTACTCACTTTTTTCGCGAAATTCAGAAAACCCTAACGCCGTTTTTCTCAAAGGTGATTTCAAAGGCAGTTTCCGTCGAATCTCTCTAATCCATTATTCTCACCGCCAGTTATCTCTCCGCTGTTAGCACCGTCGTTATCACCGCCGCTTCCTCTATTTCAGATCTGAGAGGAAACCATAGCGCTGTATCTCTGTAAACCCTAGCGCCATTTCTCTTAGAGGCATTCCATTGAACTCCGCCGCCGGTAAGTTATATCTCTTACTGTCGAGTGAAAAATTGAGGAAAGGAAGAACATAAAACATCGTTCTCACCGTCGTTCTCATTTTTTTTCACGTCTATTTTTGCAGATCTATAACCACTGTGTCGAACGCGACTATATCTTCTTCGAATTTTCAGGTTTTCTTTACAATGTTCTACTGGAAGTCTTGGAAGACTTGTCTGACGACTTGATTATAAGTCGTCTGGAAAGTTTTCCAGACTTATAATTAAAATGTTATACTGGATGTCTATGTATTTGAGATGGTTGTCTTTGATTGTTTTGCAGAAAAAAATTGTTATTCCAGAACTCCCTCGTAGGATACATACAGTAGGACAAGAGCCCCCGCATTGAATAGCATTTCGTATCATCCGTGTACGAAGTTGTATGCTGCTTTAAGGAATGCTCTTAATGATGACAAATATAAAGACCTGAAG